GAACAAGTGGGCGCTAGAGAACAATAGCGTCGCCAGTGGGTACGGAGTACAAGGGGTGTAGGACAATAGCGGACGTGGGAACAAAGGGAGCTATTGTCCGTGTGTGGACAAAGGGAAACCGTAGCGAGTAGTGAACAATAAGGAAACGTACGAGGCAGTGGTCCGAATCGAAAAGGAAACATAGCGCCGTGAGGGCGGTTCGTGACAGTATCCGATCTGATACTCCAATCAGTCCAATGCACTGGTCGGAATTGTGATTTGGCTTGGCATCCTGTATGATTATTTATGTTGACAATGAGCAAAGGGAGAGGGTTATCTGATAGGAGAGGACTTACAGAGAAAGGGGAATACAAAGAAGCATACATGAGGCTGAGTCGGAGGGGTCTCAGTGCGCAGTACGGAGCCTGCGTTCCCTGGGATTATAGTGTGTAAGCATAGGAGACCGTATCGTAGGTCCATGGGAGGACTCGCGGGACTCGGGGAACTGCACAACACATCCGATTAGTACTCTAGGGAAGTTGGTGATCACCTTATGGATGGTGTTTCAAGAAAGGCTAGTGGATACCGGCACCACGATTGTCCGAATCGAATGGTTTCACCCTGATTGTATATTTGCTATTGTTTGTTCTCATACTTGCATCCAACTTCTGTTAACGAGCATCGATGGTCACTGAGGAAGTAAGTGAGCGCTAGATTAAAGTCAGGCGTTATTCATACAAGCATGATGACTAATTCCTTCGTTCTGTGGCTGACCATAGAGGCACTGAACAGTGTAGGACAATCTACTGTACAGTACATATGGCGAACGCTCAGATAACTCGCCCTAAACAACGTGTACTAAGCTCTCTCCCTTGTTCTCGGAGTCATATGTACCAATAGTTTCGAGGGCATCCACGGCAGGGTGACCATCAGTCTCAGAGCGGATGATATGCTCGAGCCTGACCTCAACACCAGGAATAGACGATCGCTGCTGTCCTCTAGAAGACTGTCCACCAAAGCGAATCCCGCTGAGCGTTCCCGAAAGTGAAGAGCCTGACTTATGAGTCTTCTGAGCGCCCACTATCAGCACGGAGAAAACAAGCGCCTACGTGAAGGCCGTCAGCGTAAATGTATCATAATAATGGGGAAGACGACTCACCACTAGAGGCGGAGACTGAGTAAGATCAAAACATGTCATCGTGTGCTCGAACAGTTATCGAGCAGCCTACGCACAATATCAAAGAAAGTAAAAAATATGTTCGTCCCGACACTGTCTGTGATGATCAGGACAAGCAAATAGAGGCAGTACACGGCCGCTGGAGAGAAAGAGGATCCCTTAGCCATGAAGCAATCACCATTCTCCAATCAAACATACCAGACTCCACTATAACTCTCAGCAAGCGCGAGAGAGGGCTATGCACGTGAGCATGCACGGACATCTTTGTGACGCGCCAAATCTTCTAGCAGATCAGACCTATGTTCCACCAGTGAACATTTTAGGCTGCGATCAGAGGGAAGATGTATACCGGTGCAAATAGAGTTCAGACAAAAGGTTAAGATGAAGAAATACCGCACCCTCACAGTGACGGCAGCCAAGATGAGAACGTCGCCAGACCTTGTCTGGCTCAATGTCCAGGCCGCCCATACTCCCACCCCTACGGTGGCACACATCATCCATACGCTCACCACTGAGAGGTAAAGAAAGCGGGGAAGCTTACCGATACTCGAAAGGAAAAGCATGAAGGGTATCGTGATGACGAGAAGGTTCTGGTTCCACACTATGAAGGTACGATAGACCTAGGTATAAGTGAGTGGCAGTATTGAACGTATCAATGGAGCAGCTGTACAATTACTGCATCAGAGAGGAAAGACTCTGCCATGATGATATAGTTCTTGATGAGGGACCTCGTAGTGGCAGGGTTGGCGTAGTATGCCTCTGGATCCGGTCGCTAGTATGCCTCTGGATCCGGTCGCTCCCCCTGGTGACTACCAACGGCTTCGTACCCGCGGAGCATCTCCACCACAATCTCCTGGACGCGTGATCAGGATCTATACTTGGCTCCTTTCAAACACACTCACCATGACAGCTAACACGAAAAACATTCCAGATATTAAAGGTAACCAGAACGACAAACCATCTCGCATCTTCTGTCGGAGAGCTATAGCGGCCCTCGGAACATATAGTAAATAGGCTCCTGCACGATCGGAAAGGTGAACATTGTGTGATCCCAATCACTGAAGTAGGACTCACCTGTCATCAGTAGCTGCAACCATAAGCCGAGGAGCTCAGCGTTAGCCACACTGATATCGGCCATGTCGTGCGAGAGCGAGTCGTCTGAACTGAGGGCAGCCGATGAACGAACCTCTGATTGCACCAAAATATCCTCTTATACCCATGAAGCCTTCCCTCTCACATGATGCAGTTTGTTATGGCAGGGGCACGAAGCGCAGAAGCAAGCAGATACGACCACCGTGCCCAGTTCTGGGACCTCCCCATCGTGGACACTTACGCACCAGGCGGACTAGCCCGTCCTCACGCAGGGTGGACATTCAATCAAGGGGTTGCTGTAGCATCGCGCGAGAACAAAGTGCTTGGATTTGTCCTTCAGCTGGGCGCAAGTGTGATGCAGTCACACATCATGCAAGGACACACAAAGTGATCGTGAGACCAGTCCACGGGCATACCTCTGATTATGGTGAAAACTATCCAGCATGCGCTCTCTGTCCCGCTCTGAGATGGAGTAGTGTGAAGCATCGCGGGTAAACAAAATACGTCACATTTTTGAATGCAAGCCGCCATGGCAGCGAAGCCGACCGTGTCTCGTACGGTCAATCAGGATGACTCGTGTTGATCGCGAGCTTCTTCGACTACTTGTCAGCTATCGAAGGAGTCCATGAACACCTAATAAGCCATGACGACGCACCTGAAGGATGACAGAGCGTGCTCCCTACACTGCAGTGCGGAAGCGTGTTGCAGTTGCCAAGATCGAGCCCGACACAATATTGTTAGGTCTCCTTGTACGTGAGGTATCCAAGCTCCACGGACCTATCGGTGAAGACCGTGACGAAGAGTGAGGACCGGACGGATTGCGGACCAGACCTGGTTTTAAGCATCACGTCACTTGAGAACATACGAGGCGGCCGAGTCGAGTAAGGTAATCGAATCTGTCATACAGACAACTAACACGAGCACCAACAGCCATTTGGGACTACATAGCAAACTCCTGAGAGAAAGACAGAGGAAGGGACAGCACGGGGAGGTGAAATATCCATTGAATCGATGGGATGCATGGAGCCTATGCTTCCGTGAGAGCCGGAGACAGCCGGAAACGACTCGAGATGCGCCCGCCGCCCAAGTCGCCCACTGTGACGACAGCTGCAGGAAACCACTGGAGGCTTCTCAGTTCCATGAGGCCCTTGCTTTTTTCTTCCTATCGCGCTGTCTGGGCTCGACGGCTTCCGTATGCTTCCATTTCATCATGAGCATGTGGATCGAAGCAACCAAAATCCGGGAACGGACTTCTCTGGCATCCTGGGCGCAAACCTAGCGCAATCGTAGCCTGAATTCTAAATTTGTTCTCACTATCGGCGCCGGCGTCGTGTTGTTGGAAGTAGACCGTATCAGTCATCACCGGGACCTATAGAGCTGATTCTCGGGCTTACCTAGTGGGTGATTGTGTAGATGTGCGACCGCGCAGTGACCCCAGATACACCTGGGTAGAGGTCAGGATGAATTCGAAAGATGTTTTGAATCATGAATACCCCATCTTAAATCGATATTCTCACTGCAGGCGAAGATCGGACGCTGATTCTCTCCGAAGAAGCAGGAGACAGGCAGACCCGGCGTGTCAGCGCACTGATCTGGAACTGTTGGAGTTTACACATGGTACGTCCATAGCACTATGCACGTCCCTGGCCTTCGATAGATGTCCCCGTAATTTACAATAGGTAGTATAACTGGCAGCACAACCGTGTGTACACCGCGGGCCAAGAAAGTTACCCAAAGTCCGCACGCATCTCTACTGTCCAGCCTTTGCTCATGTCGGAAAGAGAAGACAAACAGAACCGGGGTTGGAGATCTTGGCTGGTGTTTCTCGCCCTCTGCATATCACTGTTCCTCACTGCTCTCGACCTGGTAGGTCGCCCCCCCGCAATTTCGTAATGCTGATGCTGATTGTTCGGTTAAGTACAGGCATCCATCTCCACTGCTCTCCCTGCCATCGTCCATGATCTCGGTGGTTCGGAGTCTTTCACTTGGGTTTCATCAGCCTACACCCTTGCGTGCACCGCAGTCCTCCCCATAAGCGGTCGGGCTGCAGATATATTTGGTCGTCGAACTGTCCTCTTGGTGGCTGTTATGCTATTTGCTGCTGGATCTGCTGTAACTGGTGCCGCGGCGTCCATGAACATGATGATAGCGGGCAGGAGTACGTTTCGTTCTTTGAGCTCTAGATGTGATCATCTCACTCTATCTCAGCAATACAGGGCATCGGATCGGGGGCAATCCAAGTCCTTGTTTCTATTGTGACAGCGGATTTGATCCCTCTGAAGGAAAGAGGTCTATTTCAGTCGTTCACTGGCGCGTCAGTGCAGACTCTTTAGGCGCTACATCGCGTAGCTAACCTTTATCACAGCACATTCAGTCTTGCGTCTGTCATAGGCCCCTTTATTGGGGGTGCAATAGCCCAGCACATGTCTTGGCGATGGTGAGTCACAATATACACCATTGCCTCCTGAGACAGCGAGGCTAACATCCGGCTTAGGCTCTTCTGTCGGTCTATTTTTGCCGTATAAGCTCCAGGTACTCATTATTAATAGATCTCAATCTTCCGCTTTGCGTCATCGCGTTCGTTCTTGTGCTTGTATTCCTCCGCCTCCGAAAGCCGCATATAGAGAGCTATGCTGAGGCATTTCTTACACTAGACTGGGTGTAAGCCATTCACCCCATACTGACAACGCAGAAGCTCATGATTATCAGCGGGAATCTCATGATCATTGGTGGCGCTACGTCTTGCATCGTAGCGTTGACATGGGCCGGAGTCAGCTTTCCTTGGTCATCCGCACCAGTCATCGCTCCCCTCGCCATCGGTCTTGTGTGTCTGCCCATGGCGCTGGTGTACGAAGCATTGCTCGCGACACATGCAGTGGTGAGTCAGAATTCCTTTTCTTCTGTTGCTCGCAGTCCTCATAGCAGCCTCAGATCCCACTGTCTATCGTCAATAATCGTACAAGCGCTAGCGGGTGAGTCTACTCATCCCCATGAGCTTCAGTCATACTTGACGCATGAAGTCCGAAAAAAATCCCAGATATATAGGGTCATTCCTGCATGGCCTTGTCGTGAATAGCGTTCCTTGTGAGTTTTATCACTTTGTCTACCATCGCGTGTGGTGATTCATGCATCATCCCAATACAGTCTTCATGTGTGTCACGGGAATCGGACTACTTCTCGGGGTCATCGAGGAGCTGATTGTATGTACAGCCCGACTTACTTCCAAGGCGCTAAGGCAGCGTCACCCTTGAGGTCCGGGTTGTACATTCTTCCAGCAGCGCTTTTCCTTTCTCCATCTGCGATTGTACAAGGGATCGTGATCAGTAAGACCGGGAGATACCGCCTCGTGGTGCGTTGTGTACCCAACCATTGCCCTTGCCCCACGAGAACCTAATAGTCTTGTCAGAACATCATAGGATGGTGTGCGATGCTTCTCGGAATGGGATTGCTCACGCTCTTGAAAGAGAGCACGCCTGTTGCCGTCACTATTCCAATGCAAATCATCGTCGCCGTCGGATTCGGCTTTCTCTACGCCACTACATTCTCTGTGCTCGCCCCACTCGACCCCGTGAACAATTCGGCCGCCCTGTCACTTTTACTCTTCGTGAGAACATTTTCTGTTGTAGGTACCATATACTTCACTTCGCGTTTTGATGGTCGAGGCTGAACATCTTACGTAGTCATGGGGAATCTCGATCTCGGCAATGATACTACAGAATCAGCTTCAGCACCACCTCCCAGATGCATTTTTACAGCTGGTTCCTCCCAACCACGATATAGCATACAGCTCCATCCCAATCATCCAGACACTGCCGCAGCCTTTGCAGACGGAGGTGCGGGAGGCGTTTGCGTCAAGTTTGAAGCTCGTCTGGCAGGTCCTACTCGCATTTTGCGGCGCAGGTCTGCTGAGCGCGACCATGCAGAAGCAAATCGCTCTTCATGACAAGATGGACGACAGGTGGGGCTTAGAACAAGTAACAAAGGAGAAGGATAGTGAGATGCCACCCGTAGTCGCGGGAGAGGTGGTAGGAACAGTGGAATCCACAGTCGGTGTCGACATTACACGTATGCAGGCATGACGCATTGACGTTAGATACACACTCACGTGGATTAATGCGGCGACTGTTGCGCCTATATGTATCACGTTTGAGAGGTTCCGCTTGCTCTTGTTCAGAATTTCCCGGAATGGCTCGACTCCATCCTCCGCCCCCGCATCTCCTCCACTCACCGCGACCCCAACACGCTCGTCATCTACACCGACGGCAGCGCCTCGGACCGCACCCGCATCCGCCCCACCACTGCCTCCTTCACCACATACTTCCCCGGCGACACACTCCTTCACCAGCACGCCGCCCCCGCCGGCTCTGGTTTCTCTTATACGGCTGAACTTACCGCTCTCCGCAACGCTATCGTCTATGCTGGGACTACGGTTCAGCCTCACATCTTTGTCTTCACAGACTCCTCCTCCGCAGCCTCCGGACTCTTCCATGTCCGTGATGGATCCCCTCTCCACCTTGAGGTATCCGCCACTCTCTACGACTGGCTCTCGGCCTCTGCCGACCACCACATCACCATCTCTTGGTGCCCTTCACACGTTGGCATCGACGGCAACAAAGCTGCTGACAAGCTCGCCCACGCCCTCCTCGATGACGTCATTGCGACCATCAACGAGTTCCCCGACACATGGCTCGACCACTTCCCTCCCGCGACCGCCGAACGCCTCGCCCAGACCCACTACTCCACCGCCAAGCACTTCGTCCGGACTGATGCCTGGGACGCGTTCCAGACGCTCTCGCTCCTTCCGGATGGGGAAACCCCGGACCCCTCCTTTTTCGGCCACGACTATGTCATGTCGAAGGCCACTACCATGTTCCTTCCCAATCTCACGGGGTCCATCATCAGACGCATGGGCAACCTCTCCATCACTTCCTACGCACGTACGGTCCGCGCGATCACCGGCCACGGTCCCTCCGGCGCGTATCGCGCCTGCTTCCGCCCCAAGGCAGGGGAACCCACGCTTTGCACGTGTGGTTTCTCTGATCCTCCTCCCCTACAATCACACTACCACATCGCGTTTGAGTGCCCCGCGTACTACCGCGGCAACTTCGCACCCGCTCACCTCCTCGAGCTCGACCCTTTCCCCCTCATCCGGGCCTTCCTCCAAATTAACCCCACGGCTTTCACATTCGATGACCTCCCAGTCGCTCTCGACGACGCTGCGCCCGACGAGCTTCCCCTCCCCCTCAGCCAGGCCATCAAGCGCCTCGCCAAGCTCTTCCTCCGTCACGAGGCCCTTTCCCGGCGCCTTTGGCATGACTTCCCCCTCACGTGCTGCCAAGATGACCGCGTGGCCATCGCCGCGCAGTTCCTTGAGCACGCGCACATTCGCCCTTTGCCCCGGGCGCTCCTCCCCCTACTAGCGCTGCACCAGAAGTGCAAAATTCGCGCCCTTACTCAAAAATCTCCCGACTCACTCCAAATTGTACTCCCGGATCTTCATAAGTACATTCTGTGATATCTCACCTATCACTTATAGTTTTTTGAGCTTCAAGAACGGAGCGATTGGGAGACCCGAGAGAGAAGATTGAGTGCAACAGTAATGCAACTAGTTGGAGCGTCTCAGTAACGGCGGTGTCACGGGCCGTCGAACGGCAATCGGCGGCATTTTGTAACCCCGCTAGGACAAGACACACACCTCCGCTATCCCGGCTGAGCTGAGCACGACTGAGATCGGGTCCTTTTGGAGCTCCGACAGCCCGAAGGTGGCTGCTTGTCACGCTCAGGAACTCGTTCAGCTCTCTAAGCCTACCTATTGCTCCTATAGCCTCGGAAAAATAGACGTAAGTTCTTCTTGCACTTTAAGAACACACATTGAAACTTGGAGAGAATCAGACTGCAAGAACAGTGAGCCGAGGCCATCGATGTCGTCAAACCCCTCATCTTCCCAACTAATAGTCAAATATCTCGACAATCTCAAGGCCGTTTTTGCCAACTCTTTTACGAGACCGTAGAGTAGCTTCATACGCACACGACGCAAAAAGAATCAGGTTATTTGATGAGGATCTGATGAATAGCGCCTCGATTTGCACTTCTGTTGCAAGATTTCACTATTTGCACTTCTGGTGCAGCGCTAGTACTGGACTTCGGTCACGAGTCCCTCCTCCCCCAGCGCTGCCGGCACGACCGGCGGCGCCTACTTGCGCGAGGCCACAAGTACGCCCCGTTCCGGATGCGGCCGGACGGACGGAAAGCCCGCAAACTCCTACGACCGGATGGGCGACTATCCCGGTCTTATCCCTCACCGTCACCGAACTAGCCGGGCGGATAGTTTGGCGACACTTCATTCCCCCCCCCTCGTCGTCGTCCTCCTCCTCGACGGCGACCACTCTTGTTACGGATGGGGACGGCGACTCCGGGTCGCCGTTGGCAGATATGGTGTGAGCGGGTAGGTGCGGG